GTTTACGGTGTGGAGATAAAGGTGCGGCGTGGAGTTACCAGAAGAATCTGATCGACCTTCACACTTCGAGGACATATATTAAATCGCTACTGGGTCCATTGGCATTGGATATCTTCACTGGATGCTGAAGGTGAGGAGGGAGCGCGTATGGGGATGTTCTGAATGCTGTGACGTGGGTTTTTAACTTAGCTGGACAAGACCCAACGCAGCACTTTTAAACAAGTTGGTGGCATATAACTTGGACGAAAAAGAGGAGAAATACTGACATTTTGAAAGATCTGAACATCAAGGAAAATTGGCTAATAAACAGCATCCTGTCTCGGAAGCTCAAATATTTTGGTCATATCAAGCGCCACGAAGGATTGGAAAATTATAGCAGGAGGCATGGTACCAGGAAGGAGGGGCAGGGGACGACCAACACAAAGATGGGTGCAGGATATAAGTGATTCCTTGAGTTTCAAAGTGCATGAGGCGGGAGAGCTGGCAAGAGACAGGAGTTTCTTTCAGGCAGACCGTGATGAGAGCGACGTTCTGTAAAGGAATTGAATGGCTATAGTCCAGGCCATGAATAGAGAAAAATATTAATAAAGGAAACCTGAAAGAAAATTATTCAGAATGAGAGCTGGCTACACGGTCCACATACTTTAGACAATTTATGAGAAGAGGAAGTCGGAAAACGTTGCGACAACAAAAACGTTAAAGCGAAATACAGGCAGAGGTAGACCAAGAGAGAAGATACTTAGCATTATTGCATGGTGACTGACAGTACTTCTTGTATCAGGGCGTATGAGTAGATAAATACGTTTAGGCAGATGGATGAGTTATCTATTCGGTGTCATTACTGAAGAGTGAATTACACGATGAATAAAGGATCGATGGTAGCATAGATTCGTAAATGGGTGCCTAGATGACAGGCTCAGAAACTGAGAACATGCATAGACTGTATGTACGGGGTGGCGGGTAAATTAGTCAAAGTAAAAGTTAAGGACCTTTTTCCACGCCTTTAGGCTTATAGGGCATATAGGGCTGGGCCTATGTTTTAAATTGACCAATCGGCACAAGATGGGTTATATTGTCAGCATTACGCCAGCCGACTTTACTTCCCGGGACTGCACCCGATGCCCACTCAAGGCTGGGTCGACCTAGGCGTCAAGGTCATTTTGGAAACAAAAAGTTCGGCTCAGCGAGTTAATTAATTAACGAGTCGGTATTATATGAATTAATAAATATAGAAATGAATCTGCAAATAAATGGACGGTGTAAAAAACGAATTGCATCAAACTGGATGAACTTATTCAGGAAACGAATCAGAGAAATTTCGAGATAGCTACTGAGAATGGCGGCTTTGTAGTTATAAAACAAGGAGTATGGTGCTATATCCTGGGAAAATTGGGCAGAATACCACGAATAGGTACTGAGAAGGGAAACAGAAAGAGATGGACGTTCAAAAGAAACCCTGAAACGACTACTGGTGGTAACGACCAGATGTTGCACTGGACTCCATCCATAAATTCCGAAGGATTGTAAGGAATTGAACGGAATCGGGGAATCGAGTCTAAGCCCTATGCGACATAAAATAGCATTGGATGATGATGAGATGATGACGATGACGACGACAACGACAGTGACCAATAGATGAATTAATAGATGGACGAAATAATTTACTAATGAACGAGCGAATGTGTGAAAGAACGAATGAACGAAAATGTACGAACGAAGCATCCATTCAACTGCAGTGTTGGAAGGCAAGTTCTCTAGCTGTCACAACTGGCTGTTAAACTATTAAAATGCACCGCTGGGTCCAGAAAAACTGAGGACAATTTTCTGAAGTTAAATTTGTTGTGAAAGCATTCTTAACAAAGTTATAGTTCGTGACCCGAGCAATTAGTCCGATGGCACTGCACCCGTGCCCAGTGTGTTCGCGTCCTTTCCTCGCCCGCCCGTATGAATTATTGATACGGGAATCGGTAATCGTTTTTCACTCCACCGAGTACCCTGATGATTTTTGATACACCAGGTTACAGGCGTTAGAGAAAAGCAATCGATTCTCTTAGGGATTTATGTGACAAGTACATGATCCCGACTGCTGGGATATCGATACGGAGATGTTTGTGGTCAGATAAAGTGCTAAAAGAAGTTTAAATGGACCATGTGAAAATGAGAATTAGTTAATTGTGTCGTGTGTTGAAATAATAAACATTACTTTTTATATTTTAAATAGTTGGGTGAGTGGTTGGGGTCACGATGTAATGAGTGCGTCTTTCTCTTCTTTCTCTTCTTTTCTTCTTCTTCTTCTTCTTCTTCTTCTTCTTCTTCTTCTTCTTCTTCTTCTTCTTCTTCTTCTTCTTCTTCTTCTTCTTCTTCTTCTTCTTCTTCTTCTCCTCCTTCTTCTTCTTCTTCTTCTTCTTCTTCTTCTCCAGTTCTGTTCTGTCTTTCAGAAGGTGCATCGAATGCTAGCCTTAGTATCATCATCATCATCATCATCAGATACCTTGCCGACTGGCGTGGGCGATCATGCCTCTCCATAATCTAGCGATCTCTTGCAGCATGTATCAGTTCGTGTGCCGACACACATTCATGCCATGCAACAAGACTGTCAAGCATCTTCTCTCATTGACGTCCTCTATCTCTCCTTCCATAGATCTTTCCAGTGGTCACAACATGTTATATTGTCCCTCTTCTCATAACATGGCCGAAAAATGATGACCGTCTCCTTTTGATGTCTGTGATAAGTTGTCTTCGGGCTCCCGCCTCTTTGAAAACCTCTTGGTTGCTCTTTTTGGCTGTCCAAGGTATTCTAACCATTCTTCTGTAAAACCACATCTCTGAGGCCTTAAGAAATTGTTTGGCATGTCAACCGATTGTCCAGGATTCACAGCCATATGTTAAAACTGGATGTATGTAGCAATCAAGAATTCTTTTTGTAACTCTCAATAACAAGGATATTTTTCACAAGATGTTTTTCGTTTTATAAAATGCAGTTTTTGCCTGTCCTATTTTGTTTCTTATCTCAGTTATGCATCTTCTATCTGATGTTATCCATGTGCCCAGATACTTAAATTTCTGTACTTGTCCTAAAATAACACCATCGACTTTTATTACACATTTAGGAATGATTCGTTTCTTTGATATCACTATTACTTCTGTCTTACCATTATTCAAACTGAGGCCCATTCTTCCACTTCCTAACACCACAGTGTCTATCATTTCCTGTAGTTCTTTCTGTCGTATATGCTACGTAAATGCTGGTACTTACGGCCTCGGATCTTCCATTTATCTATGGCTTGCCTGGTCAACCTCTAGTTTTGCTTCCATTATGACACAGTGACAGTGCCATCTCCGCGTATTCTTGACATGGGTCCCAACTATTTGGTCTAGTTTAGTACTAATTCCGTCCCAACTTCTTTCCTGCTATCGCGATTTCTTAACCTGTTTCTTCAAATGACATTTAGAATTCACTGTAGACATTTATTCCTGTTGTTCTAAAGGTTTTTTTTTTTTTTTTTGCTGTGGAAAAATACAGATTTGTTAAATTAAACACACAAGCAGTCATGATCGTGTAGCTGGTCCTTAGCAGAACGTCGCCCCTAGCATGACTCCACAAAAAGACATTCAATCCCTTGCCAACTTTCCTGCCTTGTTAATATCGAAGCCCAAGTATGTCCTGGATACCTGGTGTCCAACTTCCTGCTAGTGCAGCCCTGATTGTTTTTCCAGGACCTGTACCCTCCATTACTGTTCTCTCTAACGCACCGCCGGTGCTACGGAGCCTGTGCACTGTGTTGAGCTTCCTTGGACTCAGACTTGGGTTAGAAAAAGAACAGAGGAGTTACGGGCTACTACATGTGTGCCCTGATGTTGATCTGTTGTTCAAAAATTAAAAACCTCTCTAACGCATTATGATGTTTAGTATGCCCGAAGTAAGTTTTTTTTTTTTTTTTTCGAAACGGCTTCTTCAGCATTCGCCCTTACAAGGGCAGTTAGCACTTTGTGTTGTGGTGTACAATTAGGCTGTGATATCATCGCCACATATATTTCAGCGCATCTTTACTTTGTCTACATTTACTACATGCTTGTTCTAGGCAATGGGTCGCAGCCGAAAGACATCATGTCGACCACTTTTATATTGGCGAGTGAAAAAGAAGATGTCAAAAACAAAATTAGGACTCCGTGAAAGATTTAGAAAAGCGTAGTCGTAAAGGGCGGTCGGCCAGGCACTTTATGATCATCATCTTTGGTTTCTGCTATGTGTGCTGAATATAGTTGTGCATGACACATATCTTTATTGTTGTGTGCGCGCCTCATTCTTCATTGCATTTGTTCTTGATAACTTCAAAAACTGGCCATCTCGCATACCACCATGTTGTCCAGCTATCCACCATTTTCTACTTTTGTCGGTCTATGTCCCTTAACACTATCATCTTTCTGGTTGCCTGGACCCTTGGCATGCCCTTAAGTCACATTGCATGAACAAAACATGATGTGGACCTAACATGGACAATGAAATGACTGGCCCTGGCACTGTCCACATTACCCACCTGGTACCGAGTGGTCTGTAAAAATATGCTCTCTTCCCATATGCCCGATGCGCCTAAAGACGTGTAAAAGGGATCTTTATTTACTTACTTCTTCTTCTTCTTTCTTCTTCTTCGTCTTCTTCTTCTTCTTCTTTTCTGTCGTCTTTGTTGTCATCGCCCGTAAAGGGAATGTTGACATGTGTTGTGGTTTCGTACTAATATATAATACAGTCAGACCTCATTAACACGACCTCGCTTAAGAAGAGCACTCTGTTAACGTGAACATAATAATCTTAGTCCTGGCGTGGATGCATTATTGTCATTCCCCGGTAAGAAGGAATTTTATAACACGAACTCTTGATTTGTGGATCTTTTGGAATTCGTGTTGACGAGGTTTTACTGTATAGAAAACAGTTATTATAAAACCGTAAATAAAGGTGAGACATATTACATAATGTGTTGTTTGGCCTCTGTCTGTTACAGTCTTACATGGAAGATCACCTGAAGAACCAAGACCGTCTCGACCAGGAATGGGAGGCAGTCAGTAGTTACGTGGCCGACCCATCCAGCACCAAAGTGGCAACTGACCAGAGCAACATGCGCAAGAACCGTTTCGGGGACATCCTCCCATGTAAGTTCTCAAGTTTGTTCAAGTCCGTTTGAGTTGTGTGTATCATGCCTCGTCATCATTATCGGGCGCGTTGCCAATCTTCTGCTACTTCTACGGCCTTTTAAACTCCCCACTGGGAGCGTAAACCTTCAACCAGCTTTCGCCAAATCCTTCTATTCGTCGCTATCACATGCTGCTCTCCTTATGGGCTCCCCATCTTTTTTACTTCACTCCCTAGCTCCCCTCTCCATGTTTTTTTAATCTTCCTTTTTTCTATGCCCCTGTGGGTCTCAGTGCAAAGACATTCTAGTTATATTGTTCACAGGTTTTCTCGGCGTATGTCCTATCCAACACCAGAGTCTTTTCTTCCACTGGAACTTGTTTAGTTCTCTCCCAAGGCTTTGCCGACCTTTATGCTTCTCAGAATCTGGTGATCTCACAAGGAATGTCAGTGATATTTTTTCATGTCATGGTAAAATTCAGTAAAATAAACAACTTGTTTCCCCCTATTTTTTTTTACACCAGTGAGGCAACAGGTATATGGGGCTAGACTCATGTGTTTATACGTCAGTCGGCACCAATAATGCTGGATCGACCTGCCAGATTTGTTAAGGTGTGCTTATATATTATCTCCCCACCGTCTTCTTAGTCTACATTATAATACAAAAAAAGTAGGTGACCCTTTTCCCCGCCTTTAGGCGTATTGGCATTATAGGGCTTGACCTGTATTTGATAGACCAACCTACACTTCGTGGGTGATGTGGTAAAACATTACTGCGGCCGCCTTTACTTCCCAGGACTTCACCTGGTACCCACTCAGGTTGGGTCAACCTGGAAGCCAAGATCAAATTCTGAAGAAAGCTCGGCTCTGTCAGCACCCGAACCCACAACCTTCCGATCCGCAGTTGAGCGCCAAGCCGCCACACCACAGTGACTCCCACATTGTGATATACCCCCATGCAACTTAGTTGTGTACGTACTTTTTGTCTCTTTGTTATCTGCCAGCGTCACCCTATATGACCCAATCCTTGTAGTCTGTTAGCCCTTATTATGCCAGGAATTAATGGTGATGTAAGGTTAGTTGCGTATCCTTTACAGGACGTTGCAGAACCAACCCCAGCAGCCCCTGGCTGTTGTGTGGTTTCTCTTGGCAAATTTACGTCTAGTAGTTTGCCGTTGCCACTGGACGGTCGGCCCCCTGATATCAATGTCGAAACTAACGCAGGGCGCATTTAGTCACGGAAGTGACGCAAATAACCCAGACCACAAATATAGGCGAAGACTGTTAGCAGCCTCGGCTAGCTAGCAGCAGTCTGAAAGTGGTCGACCTTTTAATTTTTTTATCATAAGGACTTGGACTTGAAGGCGCATGGCCCGCATCTGTTATCGAACCCGGCACCCCGGCATTACAAAGCGTTCGCATCGACTTAGCCACAGAGCCAACTAGTGGTGATGTAAACAGATTATAAATGTCCTTGTTGCTTTTTACTCTCAATTCTCTGTTATTTGTATCTTTGATGGCTAAACCCATTCTATAGCTGTTTATATTCTTTTCATCTATCAAAAAATATTTCAAGTGTATTTATTGCTTCAGCATTTGATTTTAAACATCCCTTGGTTTGCTGTATTTTCATCGCTGTTGAAGAAGTCATATCTTGATACGCTCAATTTGAGTCCTGTACTGATGTATGAGGTCGGCGTCTGTGGCTTAGGCGTTGCGAACGCGCTTCGTAATGCCAGGGTGCTGGGTTCGATCACAGTTGCGGGCCTTGCGTTAGTTTCCACAGTGGTATCGAGAAGCCGACCGTCCAGAGGCAATGACAAATTACTGGACGTTAACTCACCTAGAGAAACCAAAACAGCCACACACAAAATGCTTGGGTTGGTTCCGCAACGTCCTGCAAAGGATACGCAACTAACTTAAATAATGTATGCTGCTTCTCTGATGTTGCCAGGTTTCTTTGACTGCCTTGCATTTGTTTACAACTTTCCTGTGTCTCATCTTGATCCTCTTATACCTTGCGGCGTCCAGGTGAAGTACACTTTACGGGAAAGTGCCTTGTTAGTGCGACACGTAAATGGGGATTTCCTTGGACTCTTATTCCCTTCGCCCATCGTTTGTTTGGTCTTCGCTTCCCTCCTGGTGTGTACATCTTAGCTTGCTGGGGTATACTGATTGTTGACATCCCCGTGTATTCTATTACATTCGTCTTTATGACACTTGTTCTTATTGCCTCTGTCCATGGTTTGTATGGTCGGCCTCTTTGCCGCTTCCCTCCTGGTCTATACATCATTGTTTGCTGTGGAATACTGTTTGTTGACATCGCAGTGAATTCTATTAAATTATTCTGTATCACACTTGTTGTTTCTTCTTTCGTCCATCCTCTACACAGTTTAATTTGTCGTCTTTTTTTAAGCAGTGCTATGAATGCAAGGGATAGTTTTGCAGTGAGTGAGCACATTGTATATACCAATGTTCATTCATAGCCGTGGTACACGCCTTCGTCCGTCCGCCGTAAGTGCTCAACATATTTTTATAGGTTTGGTTGACCTAATAAATTCAACATAAGACAAGACCAAAATATCGTACTACAAAAGGATCAGTGTTTTAAACAGACAAAACATTCACTTATTTCGGAGTAATAATAACGTTAGATAAAAGCCGCGTTAACAGAGAGCTACCTGTCTACACAAAAGATTTGGGTTTCAATCCATATCGGGGCCGATATTTTTTTTTTTAATTTGAACCTAGGCTCATAGGTCGATCTAAAAAAGGTGTATACTAATTTAACAAAAGTATTTCAGTTTACGAGATATGATGATATTTTTTCCCGTGGATGGGCTGGCCGAACGATTAAGATTGCTAAGCTTTCATGCGTGAGACCAGGGTTCACATCCTCATTAAGATTGTGGATTTTGTTAGATTTTTTTTTTGGTGGGGGGGGGGGGGGGGAAGGCGAGAACAATCTGCACAGTCTGTGACGACTTCACTAGCTACGATGCCCTAAATCCGCAGACTACCCCCCCCCCCCCCCTCCTTTTTACACCGGGAAAGTAGTAAATACGGGTTGTAATGAAGTGTGTTTTTTTTTAATGGTATTTTCTCGCTAGTTTTTCTACATACTTATTTCGTGTAAAATGTCAGTATTTACCCTCTTCTTCACCCACAGTTGTCTCTGAATTTATCTCTACCATTTAAGTTCAAAAGCTTTGAACTCATCTCCACAAGTTATTATCTTCGTCTTTTTTTGCTGCCTGTGATGGTAAATAGGCTTAAGGAGCCCACATTTCCTGCAATCTATGTCAGTCTTGAACATTTCCTGTCTGTGAGCGCTGCGCGGACCAAAGTATCAAAACACTGCTTTCCCAGAAGAAGACGTGACTTCCGTCTCATCAGGTTCACTGACGATATTATTGGGAGATGGTTAATCAGCCTGGTCTGATGAAAGGTTTAAAGCACCGATCATTTACTTCCGTGAGCAGTTTCTCTAGCTCTGCCGTTTCTTGTCCATGTCTTTGCCACTGTCATGTTGCACTGTCGTAGGTTTGGAGCTTACTGGTGTAGCGACTAGACGCTCGCCCGCGGAGGCGAAGGTGCGGGGTTCAAATTCGCGTGGCGGTGGAATTTTTCAAGCACGACATTGGCTCCTATGTTTACCCATCCTGAAATTGTTCCTAGGTAACATCCGGGGAGGTAGAGGTGGCTCGCGTTACGTTGACCACACCATTCATCGATTCGTCCATAAAAATATACAAATATGCGTCTATCCTCATGTACCTGATGCACCTCTGTCGTGCAAAAGGAACTTTGTTTACTAAACTATTCATTTTTTCGTGGCGGTGTATTATCTGCCGCATACGACTCAATGTCGTTTTCTGCATCCCACTCTACCCCGCTTCCTGGAGACCGGGTCTTATAATAATGTTTCCTCTAAAAGACAGACACCTTGTAGCTTATTTTCAAGAATATTTTTTCTGCATTTTTAGTACATACATTTATGTGTGTATATGTGTATATATATATATATATATATATATATATATATATATATATATATATATATATATATATATATATATATATACATACATATCTTCTTCTTCTTCGCGTTCACCAGCTGTGAACACTCTCTGAAAGTTCTGGTTGTTCGTCCACTTCTGGACTGCAGTCCTGTTCCAGAACCTGAGTATTGCGTGTGCATCCGTTTTACAGATCTGACTCATTTGTATGGAGACTGGTGGTTCCTTGCCTCTCAGGCAGATGCACTCTGACTTTAAAGGAAGCTCCCAATTAGTCGACTCTTACGACATGCTTTTGGGTAGGCAGTGGGTCTATTCTTGTTTTCCCTATAAAGGGGCCCCGGAACCTGCACGGGATATGTATATATACTTGTAGATTAATATAACTAAATAGCATTATTGTCAATAATATTATTTTTTCATATGTGTTTATACCTTCGTTTCTTTAGAATGCAGTGCATCGTTTGTGTGTTTTTGAATGTGTTTTATGTGTATTGTGTCTGTGTTCATATGTGATATCGGTGTGACTGTTGTTTATGCTTGTAGATTGGCACTGTGTGTTTATGTATATTGTGTTCATATGTGGTATTGATGTGACTGTTGTTTATGCGTGTAGATTGGAGCTGTGTGTTTATGTGTATTGTGTCTGTGTTCATATGTGATATCGGTGTGACTGTTGTTTATGCTTGTAGATTGGCACTGTGTGTTTATGTGTATTGCGTCTGTGTTCACATGTGATATCGGTGTGACTGTTGTTTATGCTTGCAGATTGGCACTGTGTGTTTATGTATATTGTGTTCATATGTGATATCAGTGTGACTGTTGTTTATGCGTGTAGATTGGAGCTGTGTGTTTATGTGTATTGTGTCTGTGTTCATATGTGATATCGGTGTGACTGTTGTTTATGCGTGTAGATTGGAGCTGTGTGTTTGCTGTGTTTGGGAGTGTCTGTGTGCACTGTTTCTGTGTGTGCCTTGTAGTGTATGTGTTGTGTTATTTCT